AGTCGAGTGCTACTTGCGTGCCTTCTTTCTCAGGTAGGTGCAGGTAAGTAGAGGTATGGGCCTCAAGTTTGGGTCTAGGTCTTGTTCCCAACAGTCTCATGGGAGTTTCTGCTTGAATTCCCATTTTCGTTAGTAAAGTTTTCAACAATAGCAATTCCAACACCCCATGAGCCATTGCCTTGTATTCTGCCTCTACACTATAGCAAGCAACAATAGCTTTCTTCTTGCTCCTCCAAGATATCACATTGCCCCAAACTAGAGCATAGTAGCCAAAAGTAGACATTCTGCTATCCACTGACCCTCCTGAATCTGCATTTGTGTAGGCCTAAATCTTCAAATTACTATGATTGCAATATAGCATTCTTTTGCCAGGACAACTCTTCAAATAAATAAGAATCTTGTTGACAACTTGCATATCAAAGCTTTTGGGCTCTTGCATATACTAACTAACTACACTGACTACACAGGATATATTCGGTCTAGTCAAACATAAGTAAAGAAGACAACCAACCAATCTTTGATAGGCCTCTCTATCTAGAAGAACATCTCCATTAGTGGCATTCAATTTGTGATTATGGTCGATTAGGGTTCCAATTGACTTACACCCCAACTTCCCAACATCCTAGAGCAAGTCAAGAACATATTTTCTTTGACAAATGAAAAAAAAACCATCTTCAAGCTTGCTACTTTAATTCCCAAAAAGTACTTAAGATCATCAAAGTCCTTGATTTCAAATTCAAAGGTAAGGAAGGATTTCATATGAGAGATTTCACAGATCTTATCACCAGTCACAACAATATCATCAATATATACTATCAACATAGTCACCCGATCATCATGCTTCTTATAAACGAAGTATAATCAGCCTAAGATTGAGAGAATCCAACCATAAAGATTGCTCTGCTGAACCCGTCAAACCAAGCTCTAGGAGATTGTTTGAGTCCATTCTAGGACTTCTTTAGATGACAAACCTTCCCCCTCACTATTAAGAAGGATCACTCCTGGAGGTAGGTCCATATAAACTTCCTCCTATAGGTCTCCAATAAGAAAGGGATTCTTCACATCCATTTGATATAAAGGCCAAGAGAAATGTGTTGTAAGAGACACAATCACATGGATAAAACTCATTTTTGCCACTAGAGCAAAATGTTTCTTGTTAATCGATGACATAAGTCGGAGTATACGACCACCAACTGTGCCTCATATGTTTTAATAGAGCCATCAATCTTGTGTTTAAGAATATATACCCACTTACATCCAACTAGAGACTTATCCTTGGGAAGAGAGACAAGCTCCCAAGTTTGGTTCTTTACAAGAGCATCCATCTCATGGTTCATAGCTTCTCCCCAAGTCTAGCTTTTTATTGTTCAAAGATATAGGCACACTAAGAGGGTGAGAGAAAATCATAGGAAATATAATTGTAGAGATAATGGGTCGAGTGGGCCTTAGTTTCTTTATATTTCTATAAGTTGTGTTTATGATTTGTGTTAGTAGGTAATGCACCTGTTTTTCCTCCTTTTATTGTTGTCCGTAGTCATGGATGCCCTACTAAATGCACTGATGTAATTATACTTAATTTTTACAACAAAAGAATAAATGAGATCATTGGGGGATGAAGAGAGGTTTGAACTCTCTCTCTCTCTTCTTCCTTCCCTTTCTTCCATCTTCTTCCTCCTTTACCTTTCTCTCTCCCATCTTCTTCTTCTCTTTTGTTTTTTCGTTTCTTTATTTCAGATTATTGCAGGTGGGATCTACAACTTGGTATCAGAGCAGCGATCCAACCTTCTCTTCTCTTCTTCTTAATCCCATACACAGGTTGTATGGAGAGTTGATTGGTTAATTGATTAACAAGTATTCAGCCCAATTAGAGGAGGTTTTTGGAGAAGATTGCATTGCTGCTTTGGGGCCCAAGGCAGGTTCTTGGAGAGTTTCCTAAAAACCCTAGCTAGCTGAAGAGCCTTTTGATTACGAGGTATAGAGGGAGTCTGAAAGTGGCGCTTGGGGATAGAATAGAATCATTCTAACTATCTTTGAGATCGATCCAAGTTGGAAAAGTTTTTGAAGCCTCTGGTAGGAGCGGCCAAACTTTCTCACTTTCTCCCATTTTATACGGTCCAATGAAAACCCTAATTTGGTTGTTTGAAGAGCAGTTTTTGGCCAAAAAAGCAAATTGGAGGTGAGACGAAACTCTTCACCAATTTTGGGTTTGGTCCAGGAGGGTTTGTGGAGACTCTGCTAGGGGCAGTAACCTCAGTAAAGTTGGATGGAACCAATTTTTAGCTTGGTCTCAATCTATAAAGATTTATGTTTGTAGTAGAGAGAAATGGGGGGTACATCACTAGGACTACGAAGAAACCCGCGGAGGATGACCCTACCTATGAGAGGTGGATGTAGGAAAACTACAATGTAGTAGGTTTCCATGCAACCCCATATTAGTTAGGATTACCTGTGGATGGAAATTGCAAAAGGGTGTGGGGCAGTGTTATAGAGACCTATTCCTAGAAGTTAAATGTTGCTAGGGCCTACAAGCTGAAGAAACCTTTGGCTATTTATTTTTTTGTGGTGAAATCTCGTTGGCAAGAGATTGATTTGATGGAGACTGTTGTGTAGGGGTGTACTAAAGATGCTAGGGCTTATAAGAAATCAAAGAGTTAGTGGAGAAAAATCGGGTCTTTGTGTTCCTCACTGGACTCAATCACGCCTCCACTCCTTTGCTCCCATACCTTTTTTGTTCCACCCATTCATTGGCAATAAGAATTTGATCAACAATTTGCCTATCTTGGGTAAATGCTCCCCGGAACTGTGACATGATAAAAGGAATCACAACAATAATTCTTATAGATAGGACCTTAGAAGTGGTCATATATATACTTGTCACCAAACTTATTAGCCTGAACTCTCCAGGAAAAATACTCTGGTTTTTTGAGTACCAATACCAAGAACATGGCATTGACCCCTAGGTTTATTAAACTTTTGTCATAGAACTCCTCAAAAACCTCCACAAGATCATCCTTAATTATTTCCCAACAATCCTGGTAAAGACCATTATGAAACCATCAAGGACTAGAGCCTTAGATATATCCATTGAGAAAACTACATTCTTTATCTCTTCAATCTCAAACTTACCTTCCATCAACTCCACATGGTTCCTTTGAACAGTAGGCCAAACTAACTTATTGAACTCCATCCTACTATTCAGTTGGACTTATCCTTCAATGCCTAACTTCATGGTAATGATGCTGCCCTATATTTGGGTGTTTCGCTCTAGCTACTACTTTAGTTCTGAGTATTCCTTCTATTTTACTTGTTTCAAACACTGGACCCTGAAATCTAGCTAATTAAGTGAAAACAAGCTTGGACTGAAGATCTTCTAGTCCAATAAATCTGAATGGGGATTTGGATATGGCAACACAATCATATCTAAGTCATATGCACCTGTAGTTGATCAGTCTGATCCTTCTGCACTCTACAACACTTGGTACATTCCATCGTGTCCCCCCTATCTCCTCCTAATTCAACCCCATTAGAAGTTCCGGTACTCTCAAATTTAAATGTGGATGCTAAGGCTACCATTTACACATGAATTATTAAATCTAACTCCAAGAATGCTGTATTTGTTGAATGGACCTTATGTTCACTATTACAAAAGGAACCATCCAGATTCCACCTTCTCTTCCATCATAACCAAATTTCTGTATTCCAGTTAGTTTGCTAAGGTTGCATTTGGTATAGGGTGCATTTGGAATTGCAGAGAAAACTGGATTTGTCAATTCCTCGAGTCTCCATAATCTACCGATTTGATGCACTTTTCCAGAACCACGGAACTCAGTGAAACATATAAAGTTTTTCTATGAGTAGTGAAACATGGAAACCTTGCAAGAAAGTTTCAGGTTTTAGCAGAATTCAAGAAGAGGGGGTTAGTTCCAATTCCATGTAATCAAGGCAGAATTGGAATTGAAATCCACTCTGCCCCCACATTTTTTTATAGATCATTCAATTCCTACAAATCCAAAGGCTTCCTAATTAAAGTAGCAGTAAATTTCATCACAACAGGGTTGAAATTTCTAAGTTTTTACGGTGCTGATTTAGGAAATGACCATTTTTAATAATTGGGCACATCAACAATAAAAGACAAAAGATATCCTTGTTTATAGCAATAAAAATGGATACAGAATGGCAATTTTTTCTTTTAAAACAAGTGTTCCGTATGAACAAAGGGGCAGTATTTCTAGCTTATCATAAATGGAATGTGTTGACACCAACTTTTTGTTATAGGTTTGTTTAAAAAAGGCTTATGCCTTCAGGCACAAGGCATACACCTTAGAACAAGGTGGCCCTTCAAGGCTATAGCTTCAGGAGTGCACCATGAAGCTATAGCTTTGCACTCATGCTTCAGGATGTGAACACTAAATGGTATATTTATAGTCTCACTATTGTGAACCAAGAAATATTTTAAACATCAAAAAATGAAAAAGAAAAATGTCTTTTTTATCCTACCTGTCAGGAAAGATACGGAGAGAACCTTAGTATCAACTCATCTTTTCTTTATATTTCCCTCCCTACTTAACCAAATAAAATCTCAACTTTTGCTATGGATTCCAGGGTTAAAGGCAACCTACAATCTGATGTTCTAGTAAGTTTTTTATCACTATCTGCATGCTAATTTAAACTTTGATTTTTGCTAAAAAAAATCAATCACTTTATATGTACCTCCATATTCAATAAAATCAAATGTTATTTTCTGCAATGGATTTCAGGGGGGACAAGGTGACCTACAATCTGATGTATGTGTGATGAAATTCATAATGATGGCCATACCCTGTACTAGCTACCTACAGTCAGCAACAAAATCCTGCTATGAAATTCCACTTTATATTAATATCTTCCTTTCATGAATGGGCATATGACTCAGCAAATTCATTCATGGCGCAGAAGAAACCACAAAAAGAGCAGGTAAAGTATACAAAGCTCATGCAGCTAAAAGGATAAGACTAGCTTACAGGAAGGATTAGCTTTTGTCCCCCACGATGGAATTCAATTTTCCAAAAGATGCCCTATGAAAAAATAGGGAAACACATGATAAACATATCCCATATAAAAAGCACTTACCATCTCAAGGATAATAATGTTCAAGAAATAAAGTTGAAGTAACCATATGCTGATAAAATAACAACTATGGGAACTTCCTTTCGATCATTTTCATTATATAAATAAATTATTAGGTCTTAAAATAGTTGAACATAGAACAGAATAGAAACTTTCAGTATTATTTATCAATGTAGAAACTTTAAAGAAGCCGGTTCCATTAAAAGAAAAGTAGATAGTTCAAATAACAGTGTCAAACTAAAACATTTGTAGGAAATAAGTTAGTTTCATCATCATCACATGGGATTCGCTAAATAAATCCCTTTCTGCTGTTAGGGGCAGTTTTGACTCATAGGTATTTTACTTATGGAGGCCAGTTTAGTCATTTCATAGTTAGCCAATGGTTGCACTCTTGTATTCTCTTCGCAGCATCAACATAGACCATGAAAATAATATATTCAGCTTCAAAATGGTGACAAAAGACAATAATCAAATTGGTACCTTTTCAACCCAAAATAAATCACCAATCACTAAATTTACCAAACCAGACTCATGGGGACTGCTTCAGTCAAATATAGCCTTTTTCATCAGTCAACATATATTCCCTTCAAAACCCCCTAAGCAACAAACCCAGCTGGTTGTTCCATATACACCTCTTCAGAGAAATTTTCATGCAGAAATGCATTCTTTACAATTAAATGACACAAAGGCCAATGAAATGTAGATGTGGTTGCAAGAATGACTCAAATAGAAGAGATCTTAGCCATTGGAGAAAATGTCTCATCAAAATCAGTTCCATGAGCCTGAGTAAAAACCCCGTTGCTACCAATGAGCTTTCAACCTTTCAATAGTTCCATCAGGCTAAAACTTAACAACATAAACCAATATACAACCCACTAACTTCATACCATGATGAAGATGAACTAAATCCCATGTATGGTTATCATGTAAGGCAGCCATTTCCTACTTCATAGCTATCCTCCAGCCAGGATGAGAATATGCAGGGATTTAGAAATATAAAAGATAAAGAAGAGATAAAACTACCGAACAGGTGGGCATAATGAAGCATAAGAAACAAACTAAAATAAATTATTTCATTTTATTTTATATTATATTATATATCATATTTATAAATATTACAACATAACACAGAATATATTTTTATATAATATTTTAATATTTTATAGCATAGTTTTCAAGGCTCCAAGGCAATATTTTAATATTACAACATAGCACCTTGTCACATAGTCGCCTAGGCGAAGAGTTTTTTAAGTAAAAAACATGTATCCTAGGGTAGTTCCCTAGGTTCCATAACCATATTTCCTTAAGAATTATCCATAATTTTCATAAAGAAAGTATAAACTTCATGTTAAAGTATAGAAAATCAACATATTCCAACATTTTCATGAGAAGAAAAAGAAGAAAGAAAAGAAAATTCAAAAAATATAGGGGCTGAAGCCCTATTTCTGATCTAGGAAAAGAAGAAAAGAAAAGGTGGAAGAAGCAGACGAAGAAGATATGGAGGAAGAAAATGTGTTGATTAGACAACAAAGTTCCTTACTTATTGGTTCAGGTTTTGAAGTCTTTGAGGGTTCAATACAGCATTTAGCAATGTTTGTGTTGACTAAACCCTAACAAATAAGAAAAATTAGTATATAAACGCCCAAAATGAATGATTTAGTTTAATAACGTCTATTTTATAATTATAACCTCAAAAGATTAAGAATGTAAAAGTTTTTTATCACACTGTACAAAACTGTTTGGCGATTAGGCGAGGCGATCCCCCAAGGGCGCCTTGTCGCCTAGGCGTCACCTTGACAACTATGTTTTATAGTTATATAAACCAAAGCATATGTTTTTATACATATATTATATGTCTTCTAATATAAATTATTTCACTTTTTAAATAATTAAGTATTTAGTGACATAGACCCAGAGCGTAGCCTGACTCAGCCAGGGCCCACATTAACCCAAGCCCAGGCAAGCTAATAGCCCTTATCACAGGTCCTACGTCTGGCCCGTCCCAGCACATGATCACTCCTAGAGAGGGCTAATGGGACTAATTTGCATTGGAGGCCTGACTTGGAGGGTAAGAAATTGTTAAACAAGGCTGGCTTTGAATTTTCATTACTGTATTTTAGGACTTGCTAGCTAACTAAGGTTAAGCATATCTTCTTTTAAATAGAAATAGTTCTTGCTGATCTGTTATTGATCAAAAAAGGAAACTTTAAGGTGGAGGTTTGCGGAGTGGGGCTAAGGTTTTAGGGGCATGTTACCAGAGAGGCTAGATCTTTGGCAGCTAGAGTATCTTATCCCAATGGGTTTAAAGATCAGCAAATGCGTTAGAAAAGCCTTTTATGTACTCATCCAACCCTTCCAGTTTCTGGGGGTTGTTCTCTGAAAGTAAAAATAAATTTTCATTAAAGAAAGAAAAACAAACATCCTGAAAGGTGATAAGGAATCACCACTTACAACAGCATCAAAAAAAAAAATACAAAAAGCCTTCAACCAATATTTTCCACATTACAAATTTGAAACCCCAACACTTCCTCAAGTGTATCCCCAAGATCCTCCCTTGTGATTTGTCTATAATCTGGTAATATTAATATCCGATCTGCAACAGATTTGCCGACAACTTCCACACTTTTATCCACATTGCGTGATTTGACTTTAAAAATTCTTCTGTTCCTTTCCTTCAATCTATTCCAACAGATTGTCAATGGAATGCAGCTCCAAATCACCATTGCTGCCTTTTAGAGTGGAGGGGGTGTCTTGTCAACCAGGGTTTTTATGTTACTCTAAACTATTACTTTGAAAAAATAAATTAAGTGCAAGCTTCCTGAATACATTTCTTTATGAATGTTATATGAACGAGCATAATGCACCATATGCTCAAAAAGACCTCCCTAATAAAGACAACAATTATGAATTTATGATGTTTGAATATAGACTGCATTATTCAAGGGAATACCCTAGTATCATACCCTTTAATTTCTAAGGGCTTGAAGAATTTGCATAAAACCTCGTGATAATTCTTCATGAATTGAAAGCATAATTCTAACTGATGGAAGGGCATACCTAGACTATTACAGATGTGTCTCATTTTGAACATCAGAACCAATCTTCCACCACAGAGACTAGAGGCAAGAGAACTGACAATTGTATAGATGGTTAATTTGAAAATGCAAGAACTTAAACAGGGAGAAGAGAACCATCAATCAGTAAGGAACTTATTGATCCTTTTCAGAAATGAAATCACCTGAATCCCTAGCGAATAGAACATCCGAACAGAGCTGAAATCAGAGATCTTTCTTCCGCCACCAACTTCAAATTCAAGAGCAGTGCTGCAAAATTTGAAAATGGCATATGAGATAAAAGGTTTTCCAAATAGCTCACTTAGGGCTTATCTGCCTTACACCATCTACTATTTCATCAATGTGGAGGGATCGCATGACCAATCCATACTGTTGAAAGGACTGGATCCTTTTAACTGGCCATGAAATTATTACCCACGCCAACTCACATCCAAATGTTATCTAGTATTGGGTGTTGGAATATTCCCCTGCAATCACAACTTTTTGACGTCTAAATTTTATTACTGAAAAATCCCAAAAGATAAATGTCTTTGGCAAGTGGAAGGGGTTAGGGCTGAATTTTGCCATAAGAATAGAGGGCATGTGATGAAACATCACTAAGAAATCAAGGACTTCTGAGGTAGTTATATCTTACTAGGTAACTATTTATCAAATACATACATTAAATGTATCTTATTCCAATAGTGATAAATGATACAGGACAACAAGAATAAGGTAAGCACTGGAGTTAATGCTATCTTCTTAGCCCCAATCCCAAAGAAGATAGATGCAAAGGACCCAAAGGATTTAAGGCCGGTTAGCCTAGTGACAAGCATCTATAAAATCCTAGCTAAAGTGCTATCTGTGAGAATTCAAGTTGTGCTGCCCTCCATCATTAGTCAAGCACAAGGTGCTTTCGTGCAAGGAAGGCAAATAACGTATCAGACCTTATAATAGCAAATGAGTGTGGAAGGACATGAGAAAGTCGGGAAATCAAGGTTTTGCTTGTAAACTGGATTTATAAAAGGCCTATCATCTTGTGGATTGGAACTTTTTACTGGAGGTCCTTGGGTGTTGTAGATTTGGAGATAGATGGTGCAATTGGGTAAAGCATTGTATTAGTTCCTACCATTACTCAGTCTTGGTTAATGGGGTGGTCAAAGATTTTTTTCCAAGCTTGTAGAGGCCTTAGACAAGGTGACCCCCTCTCCCCTTTTCTATTCACCTTAGTTGCAGATGTATTCAGTAGATTAATTTCTAAGACAAATAGGGAAGAGGAAGTGAGAAGTTGGAGGATAGAAAGAAACAATGTCCAGGTGACCCACCTACAGTTTGCCAATTGCATCATAATCTTCTGTGAAGGGGGTGATAGGCGAGAAGTAAGGAATCTCATAGCTCTGCTACAACACTTTGAGAAATTCTCCAATTTGAAGATAAACCTGGACAAGAGTTGTGTGGTATGTCTTAATAAGAATGAGAGGGTTATTGAGTCTGTGGCGGATTGTTTAGGTTGTTCCATTTCTTCTTGGCCCTTGCAGTACCTAGGTCTCCCTCTAGGTGCTAACCCAATAGAGATTAATTTTTGGACCCCAGTTTTAGAAAAGTTTGAGAAAAGATTAGCTTCTTGGAAAAAGAACTACATCTCTCTAGGGGGTAGAGTGACCTTATTGAGAGCCACCCTAGCAAACATACCGGTTTATTTTTTTCTCTATTTTTAGGATTCCTATTAGGAAGGCTAAGAAGTTGGAGAGATTAATGAGAAATTTTCTTTAGTAGCCAGGGGAGGAAAGGAAATATCACTTAATTAACTGGGAAAAAGTTTGTAGGAGTAAGAGTAGGGTGGACTGGGATTAGGAAGGCTAATTCTCAAGAATCAAGCTCTCTTAAGAAAATGGTTGTGGAGGTGGCCCATAAAAAGGGAGAGGTTGTGGCATGATGTGATAGCTAGTATACATGGAAGATTGGAAAATGGATGGGATGTGGGTGTATCACATCGAGCTACATTGGCAACTCCATGGAAAGCAATCCAAAGTATTCTCCCTCAATTTCTCAATTATGTCAAGTATGATGTCAACTTTGGTAACTGTTTTATTTTGGGAAGACATTTGGGTGGGTACCTTTACCCTTAAGGACCGGTTCCCGTTCTCTATTCCCTTTCCCTCTACAACGAAAAATTTATTTCTCATTTTCTCCCACCACCTGCCTCACCCTCCTCCTTAAGTTGGGACTTTGATTTTCGTAGAGGCTTGAGAGATGATGAACTTATTAGTGTTTCAGACTTGTCTCTTCTTGGCAGTGTTTTTTTGGACCCTCTTAGATTGGATGTGAGAATATGGTCCCCTCATCCAAAAGGTTACTTCACTTGTGCTTCCTTTTTTAAGGCCCTTTGCTCTTCCCCGGAACAGTTGGGTTTTCCGACCAAGGAGATTCGTCTAGACCTTTTCCACCTAAAATTATTATTTTCTGTTGGGAGGTGTTTTATAGAAAGGTTACCTTGGACTGCTTGCAAAAGAAAAGGCCATTCATGTGTTTGTCCAATAACTGGTATGTACTTTTCAGGGCTAGTGGTGAGGATTGCTCCCACTTACTTTTATCTTGTTCCTTTTCTGTTGCTATTTGGAGTTGGATTTTTTCTTTGTTTGGGTGCAGGTGGAATCTGACCACAGACTTAAGTCAACTATTTGATCCTTCCTTTTTTGTGTGGCCTACAAAAAAAGGAAGAACTATGTGGAGATGTATTAGAGCAGCTGCCTTGTGGACAATCTGGGAAGAAAAAAATGCAAGGTTATTCAAAGAAAAGGAAAGAAGCATTCAGGCTGTAGAGGATTGTATCTTGACTAGGGCAATTCATTGGTTGAGAACTATGGACTCCTTTAATACATTTTCTTTTGATGGTATTTAGAGAAACTGGATAGCAGTGGCTAATAGTCATACAAGGAAGGACAGGATATCTGCAGTCTGGGTGCCTCTCTGAAGTTTGGGTAAAGCTGGATTTTGATGGTAGCAGCCAATGAAATCCATGCCCATCGGGGATAGGAGGGGTGCTGAGAGATAAGAATAGCAACATCTTAGCCTTGTTTTGAGGCCCCGTGGGAATAGGAGACTATAATAGAGCTGAGATTTTAGTGGCTGTACAAGGTATTCAGATTGCAGAACAATTAGGAGTTCAGAATTTGGTAACTGAAGGAGACTCCAAAATTGTTGTGGGATGACTGACAGATCCAGGCTCAGCTATAGGGCGATACAAAGACTTATTGAGGAAAGTTAATTGGCTCACAAGGAGCATAACTGTTACCTCTCTTTGGGTGGGAAGATCAGCAAATACCTTAGCGGATGGGTTGGCTAAGCAAGAGGCTTCAAGGGAACATTTATTTTGGGCTGCACTATAATTTTTATTTCTGTTTTATTCCTGTTTTAACTTGATGTGATACTTTGTTAGGAGAGGTAACAGCTCGTGTCCCTCCATGGTTTTCCTGTAATGCCTTAATTCTCTGGTTTAATAAAATTATCTTCATTCATCAAAAAAAAATATATTCATTTAAAAAACAAAACAAAACAAAACCGAATCCACTATGTTACTGAGAAAGTATGACAGAATAAGAAGATAGAAAATAAAATGTCCTAATACATGAAAAGAAAAAGGGTATGAAGACCTTTATTACTCTACTCTAAAATGGCTCAGCTATATGCAATAACTAGCTAGCTAAGGTTTCAATGATGTTTTCTCATTGAAATAGAGTATCAAAGTTAGTAGTATAAGTAACATATTATGGTGCTAAATTGCTAATTACATAGAAATATTTACTCCAATAATCTATGGCCTCCCTTAGCCATAACTCTCCTACAGTAGAATACCCTTGATGCAGAAACTTTCCCAAAAGAAAAACAGTCAAAATGCAAATAGCTTTTCTACCAAGCGGCATTGCCAAGCTAAAACCTTCCTAACTAACAATGAATCATTCTTCTGTGCAACCATGAAACATGCTTCCACAAGTATCATTCAAAAATTCAATAAAGAAGTGTTTCAAACTAATATTGAGATAGGTGCCTCACCCAGGTCCTAGGCGCAGCACTTTCAAAAGGTGCACACCTAGTGCGCCTAGCCCAGGTGTGCGCCTTTTGAAAATTTTACGCTTTTTTGCTTTTTTTGGAACCTAGCGGCTAGGCCGAGGGCCCCCTATTTGCTAATGTTGTTTTTTTCACAAGGCGCATGCTTTTTTGAAGAACATGTGGCAGCTAATTTATTTAAATTAGTAAAATAAATAAATAAAGTTTATTTATTATTGGGACGGGACTGGTATAGGCTATCTCAAGCCAGACCCGACCCACTGACAGCCCTAAATATAGGGCTATGAGAGAGAGAGAGAATCAGGAATAAATAAATAATTTAGTAAATTAAATAAATAAAAGTTTATAGATAATAATTTATTTAATTTAATAAGATGAATAAATAAAAGTTTATTGGGGTGGAACTGGTACAGGCTATCCCAAACCAGATCCAACGCATTGACAGCCCTAAATGTTGGGCTCAGGGTAATTATTTCTAAATAAAAATAATAATAATTTAGTAAGTTAAAAAAATAAAAGTTTATAGATAATAATTATTTAATTAATAAAATAAATAAATGAATAAATAAAAGTTTATTGGGATATGACTGGTACAAGCTATCCCGAACCAGACCCGACCTGTTACAGCCCTAAATATTGGGGTTGGGGAGAGAGAGAACGAGATATTTTAATAAAAGAAATAAATGAATGGATGAATAAATAAAGATTATTGGGACAGGACACGTACAGGCTATCCTGAACCAGACCCAACCCGTTGACAGCCCTAAATATAGGGCTGGGGGAAAGAGAGTGAGATAGTCTAAGAAAGAATCGGGTGAGAGATAGAGAATGGGAGAGATAAATTAATAAAATAAATAAATAAAATTTATTGGGACACGATTGGTACAGGCTATCCCGAACCAGACCCAACCCGTTGACTGACCTAAATATAGGGCTGGGGGAAAGAGAGAGAGAATCGGGCAAGAGAGAGGATAGAGAGAGAGAGAGAGAGACGACTTTTGTCATCATTTTTGTTTTATATGGGGCAATTTAGACATGTCCATGGGCCAGGCTCGGGCTTGGCTTTTGCCAAATTTTGAATGGGGCCTGGCCCGTGAACAGATCTATGGGGCATAACCATAAATAGTTAAATATTCAGTATCAAATATGAAATAGGGAGAGTTATATGTTGTCTTGATCACATTTGTCTTGTATTGTGGCGTTATCTTAAATAATTAGAGGTTTAGTGGCACATTAGTTAAGAGAGACATCAACTGTACACAAAAGAACTGCCAACACCTTTGCTGATGGGTCAGCTAAACAAGGGGTGAATAGGGCTGTTTTATTCTGCGCTCACTTGTCATTTTTCTGTTTTTCACTATATTCTTGGGAGGGTAATGACTTATGAGAGCTTACCTCTCCCTTTTGTACTTTCTTTCTAATTTAATGAAATCTTCTCGTTATTGATCCAAAGAAAAACAGAGAAGGCCTCACCATACAGGCTGCCTTTTGCTATTAGATAATAGATATATAGATTTGGGAAAAAAAGAGAAATTAAAACTTTATAAGGATAAATTTGGGAAAAGAAAATTCCATTATTGAAGAAAGACATGAAAAGAGAGAGCATCAAACTCTCTTTTATTATAGGTATATGGATACACAATCTTACTGTAGCTTCTTCAAAAAAACAGAATAAGAATATTTTGGCTTTGTAAAACAGTAAAAAACAAAGAAAAATAAAGCTCCTGAATGATAATAACAATCGAAAGAAAGGCAAACGTGTCTAAAAAGCAATTTTAAAACAGTTGGGCATAGGCTGGATATAAAGAGGACCTAGTGGGCACAAGTTTCCATCGAAGGATATTTTCTACCAAGGCTCAGTTTGGATGGAGTACAAACACAAATATGTACAGTGCAAATACAAGATTTAGGAATAATACACAATACAAGGTTTTGTGATGTACATATTGGTTTGTACTCGTCCCAAACTGACTTTGTTCCACATTCCCTATTTGTATGTGAAAATTTAAAAATGCCCATACTAGCAACTTTCCCTAAGGCTCAGTTTGGAAGGAGTAAATATACAAATATGTATTGTGCAAATACATACAAAATAATACAAAATACAAGGTTTTCCATAGGGGTGGCAACAAGCCGAGCTTTAAATGAGCTGCTCGAGCTCGGCTCGGCTTGGTTTCAACTGTGCTCGAGCTCGAGCCCAATACAGTGGCTCGATTATTTAACGAGCCGAGCTCGAGCCTACTAGAGCTCGAATATATATATATATATAATATATATATATATGATATTTAATATATATATAAAAATATATACATTAAAATTATAGAAAATAATATATATAAATAAAAAATATTATAATTCTTAATTTTTAAAATATAAAATAAAAAATTTTATATATAACTTTTATTTTTATAAAATATTTTTCTCAAAATCGAGCTTGAGCTTATGCACTTTTTACTCAAGCCGAGCTCAAGCTCAAGGTTCTGGCTCGAACCGAGCTCGAGCTCTAGCCTTGTATAACAGTCTCGAGCCGAGCTCAAGCCTGGTACTATTCGGTTCGACTCGGCTCGAATCCACCCCTAGTTTTGCTTTGCACTCTACATTAGTGTTTTAAAAGCGCAAGGCGCAAGGCGAGGCACGCACCTTTTTGAGGCAAGGCGCACAATTAAAAAAAAATAAAAATTCAAAAAAAATGCAAAAAATCAAAAAATTATAAAACATAATATTAATAAAAATATAAACTTAAGTTTTAAAATAAATGTTTTAAAAAACCTATTATCTAAAATTAAAATACATAAATATAATATGTAAAGCATATTCAAATGAGAATTTAAAAACGAAATCAAACATATAAAACATTTTCAAGCATATAAAACCCACAATCTCTTTTTTTCTCAATTGCATCAAGTATCTTATGTGGCATTACATTCCTCCTAATTCTACAAGCCGCCTTTGTGCCACACCCCTAAGGCAAGCCCAAACAAGTCCATGTTAGGTTCTTAAATTCTTAGTTTTCACACAAAAAATAATAATTTTATAGTTTTAATTGCTTTTAAGAAGATATTTTATTAGGATGAATGAATGGACAACATTACCAAATAGGGGATTCTCGAAGCTTCGGTGAGCAAGCGAACCCAGCCGCCAGACTCAAAGAAAGGGAAAAGGCAGCAAATTTTCAAAAGGCGCACGCCTGGACTAAGGCGCAAGGCGCACCAGGCATGCGCCTTTTGAATAAGCAGCGACTAGGACCTAGGCGAGGCACCTACCCTAAAATGTGCCTCGCCCGTACGCCTAGGCGCACCTTTTAAATCACTGCTCTACATATTTACACTTGTACTCCTTCCAAACTGAGCCTAAAAAAAAAACAGCACTCTCAAGACTAACAACATTTCTTCAAGTGAACTAGTAAAAGCACAACATGAAGGCTTGTTTAGGTAATGAAGTATTAAATTTAAGAGGTAGATAACCTTTTGTCAGATTTTTGTTGCCAGCAATACTAAATACTTTAGATTTCATATCTGTGTACCCATTTATGCATGCATGTATATAGAATTCAAAATGCATATTATTCCATATGGTACTTAACTACTTATTCGCATGCATAAATACATACAAAAAACTAGTTGTTTTGAATCTCTTGTTTACTTATTCGAAATATTAATTTCAGCTCCCACGATTCAATGATCTACGTAATAGCTCCAAATCAATCTTCAGGAAAGGAGTGGTGAAAATCCAAAGGTAAGGCAGTGGTGACAGCAGTAGTGATTAAACACCAAGATTTAGATATTTCAAGGTCTTTTCCAAGATTTTCTAAGGATCAGGCTGTGCCAGTTCAGGTGAGGAGTGAAATTTTAGCTGAGGTCGATCAAAGAACAAGGGGTGAGAAATAGGGGCAGAGGTTGAACCTGGAAATGGGTTTGAGGCATTGACAACAGTGTAGGGGAATGCTTAGAGAGATAAGGATGAAAAAGTTGCTGAAGAAAAGGATGAGGGTGTTGTGACAATAGCCAGGAATTGTCCTTAGGATTTTGATAAAGGGGGTGTGGTGTTTGATAAGGTGTGCTGTCCTAAAGTTGGTAGTAACCAGCTGATTACTGAAATCTTTGTGGGAAATCGAGGAGTTGATTTGAGGTGTCAGAGGAAGGATTCTGAAAAGGCCAAGTCTAGTTCTGTTCCGGTAGCTTCAAAGACTCCCAGGAGTTTGGCTAAATCTTATATTGTGCATGTCACTAAAGTGTTTTCACGCTAAAAGAAGGTTTGCTAGGCCCTACTAACAAGTACAAAAAACTGTACAAAAGGGAAGTAAATCAAAAAGTTTTGGACCATGGGGTCCGTATTGGAGAGGAGATTGATCATCAAAACGTCAACAGTAAAAACAGGCAGTCGTTTTGTTCGCTTGCAGGGGAGCTAGAGACAAGTGGAGTATCAGAGAAGGAAAATGAGGGTGGTAATGCAGCTGAGGAAACAATTGTCGAGGTTTCCTCAGAGGGTCAAGGGAAGGAGAGAGGCAGTACGGAGATCAAGAAAGTTGGTAGACAGGGACATGAAGGTTGGCAGCTCTTTAGGTCTGTTTTTCGTAGGAGGAGAGGTTTTTGCCAAGAGAGCAACAAAAGGGAAGAAAGACTGAAGAAATCCAATGTTTAAGGAGGAGAACTTGGAATAAGGAGGAAGGGCAGGAGGAATTTTTTGATGGGGAGGATTGAAGAGTGTGGTGAGTCAGGATGGGGTCATGATGCTTGCTTTTTAGGGTAGCTCTTTGGTCGCTTTATTTGTACAAAGCTGAGAGTGCTCCTAAGTTTTATTTGTGAGCAGAAGAGGGTGTCGCATATGTAGGTGGTTTTTCTTCTTGGGCTGTTGTCTGCTTTTTGGTGGTGCTGTCTTAGCTCCCCCTTAGTGAATGTATTTAGCATCTTTTTAACTTTTTAAATAAATTTTTTCTTTTACTATCGAAAAAAAAGTGGTAAAATAATTACCCTCTCCATTTCTATCACATTATAGAAACGAACTAGAAATTTTGAGAAAAATAATAAAGACAAACCAGGTTAATGTAATGTCATCTAAAGTATCATTACCTAATGGTAATCCAGCCAATTATCCAATACAATGCTATCAAAATTGTAGAAAAATTGGAGCACGTACCTTCCAATTCTAGCTGCAATACGGCCATTAGACTTGGAGGAGAAGTAACGAGTATAATGAGCTGTTGCTCCAAAAGAACTTGTACCAAACTGCAGACATTAACTAAGCCTGAATTCAAACAAAATAAAAACATATCTAGACTCTAGAACAGAATAACATGCATATTGCAAGATAAATCCATAACCACAAAGATAAGAGTGGACATGAAGAAGTACATTTAGATCTTTTAAGCTAATGATCACAAGAGGATGCCAAAAGTATTCAAATTTATCTCAAATACAATTTTGTTGTGAATGTTTTCTAGTTTTATCTTTCCCTTTATTAGGGGACTTGATATTTTTATTAATAACAATTTTACCTTAACACCTTTTCAGATTGTAATCCTTTCTTTTTCTATTACCATCAAGAAAAATTTAAGTTTGCATTGATGTAGAGAGAAAAAAAAAAAAAAACAAACAAAGCAATAGATGTAGAGAGGAAAACAAACAAACAAAGCAAGGTGATGTAGTGAGCTCAGAAATGAAGGTAGCAGTGTTTGGTGTTGAAAAAGCCAAAGAAATGAGGATTGATAGGTTGATTGTTGAAGGGGACTCAAAAACTGTGGTAAACTGGCTGAACAAAGGGGAGGGAATAATTTGGCAGTTAAGTAATGAGTTCAGGCACTTCAAACAGGCTTCTAAAGACATGGTGATTCAAATAAGATGGATTAGAAGATCAGCTAACAGCATGGCTGATGATCTAGCTAAGCAAGGAGTTCAAAGACAATCTATGTTTTGGGCTATATTCTAGTTAGTAGGATGTTTCTGTCGGGTTACCTTTTGGGCTGTGTTGTAATTAAAGGGACTGCTTTTGGGTTTGTTTGGGGCTGTGATGTATTCAGTAGACAAAGTGGAATGCTTGTCTGCCACAACTTCTTGTCGTACTTGATTCTCTAATTAATGATTCTTTTCTGTTTTGCTGATAAAAAAAAAAAAAAACAAACAAAGCAATAGTGCTAGTAGAGTCAAGGGTTTTAGTATCAATGTGTACTGGCTGTAAGGGCCAAAAAGGCCAAATATGTATCAATTTTTCACACTAAGGCCATGTTGCACACTAGAAATGGCCCAGTTTTGGTTCCATTCCTCATGTTTCTATTGCTTTTTATCTAACTGTATTGGTCTGATACATTATGATGCCCTGTGACTTTCTTTTTGATAAATGTTAAGATACCTGTAATGTGGATCAGTTTTCCCTCCACTTTTAAATTTCAAGTTTTTTTTATTTCAAATCTCACATTAAGACCCGCAATCATAGGCTTTTAAATTTCTAATCCTCAGCCATGTCATATGCCAAATTATTAGATGATTGAGGGACCAATCTATATGATTTGTCCACTCTAGGGCTTTTAAATTTCTAGACACCAACAAAAGGGACAGAGCATCAAAGTTGAGTGCAGATGATCTACAAACGAAGATATGTACAGTAGACTACAGAACAAATCAATGCCAGTATTCCATAAACATAAGGTGTGGGCCCCATGTGTATGGAACACTGGCATGTTCACTCTTGATTGGTTCCATGGCCCATTGTACACACCTTTGCTTGTAGCTCATCCCATTCCATCAAAGCTCCAATTAAAGATGTAAAGCAGTTTACAAGAAATCTTCCAAGACATCCACCAAGTAATTGGTTAATTAAGGGATCCATCTAAATAAGTTGTTCAATCTGAAACCAACAATCTAGCCTCTGATAAGTTGGTTACATCTAAAGCTCCATTTAAAGATGTGAAGTGGTTTACAAAAAACCTTCCAAGTCGTCTGCCAAGTAATTTACAGATGGAGGGATCCATCTGAACAAGTTTTCAACCTGGAGCTAACAATCGAGCCCATAGTGGCAAACTGACTGAACAACAAAGCTCCATTTAATTATGTGAGCAAATTTACTAGAAGTTTGCTGCTTTGATATGTAACCCATCGCAGACCCATTTTCATTCCAGAGTATAATACAATTGGGAGTCCATTTACTCTGCTCCACAAAACAAAAATGTTCCTTCAATATTTGGAGTCATAAATATGTACATAATATAAGACTTAGAGAGGAGAAATGATGATAACCAAGAATGCTTAAGATCATTTTACTCTTTTAATCTCCTTGTTTCTAATATATATTATTGGTTTTTTGGGGTGAGGACAATATAAGAATGCTTAACAAGGAATAGGCCTGACCTTCAGCTCTCCAGCCACAGCCATTTTCTCATCTTTCTTTTGCCAGCCAACAGCAATAGATGACTCTGTCCCTAAAGCAAGCTGTATCTGAAAAAGGACAAGAAAGTTTCAAAATTAAAACCTTCACATTATAGAAGCTGGTGGATATCTGCATTCCATGAATCTCAATTTGCACACAACAAATTCTAATGCAACAAAAAAGGAGGGTAAAGATAGAGAAATAAAGACAAGGAGAAATAAAGGCATCCAGGTATCAAGAGAGTTAGAGTTACATATTTACTAAATCAAAAGCTATTTGTATGCAACAAAGATTGGACTATTAAGATTTTTCATTGTCATCATATTTTATGCTACTACTCCCACTCAAAACCTAAGGGCATAAGTTCATAGTCCTAATCTATGTTAACAAAATAGTGCAAGGAAATGGCTGGACAAGGTGTCAGATAGAGAATTTACAGTACAAAAAGAAGCGTCCAACATAATATAGCATCCATGTATTAGTATACAACATCTTGGAGAGAAGAGGCCAGATTAGTTGGACATGTGCTTGTGCAGATATTCTGTGATGCATTTGAGAAAAATAATGCACACACACCTGAGATGAAGAATATTGATTTAGTCACTAAAAAGGTGGTCTACTTGTATACTAACAGGAGATGAGTTAACAAAGACTTAGAGTGGAGTTAAGTGATTAGAAGATGGCATTCAGTGCAAGCTCTTTGACCTGAGAAATATATGTGATAAAGAAATAGCATTATCCCCCCCCCCAGCTATAAGCTTAGCTTTGATGGGTGCACCCTCAGGAACCTCGGTCCTTCCGGTGTAGGTGGCTCGTTTAGACAGGATTATGATCTGCATGGTGTACTCCAGTCAATTGGAGATGAACATGCCATAAAAGCAAAAACCGATGGCTGTATGCGCCATTACTCCAGGGCTCATGTTAAGGTAAAGCAAAACTGCAAGAGCACTGGCATCAAAATTGAACATCCCCATTTAGATGGACCCTCCACTAATCTGTTGGCAGATGGTCTTACTAGGGAATAAGGACACAAGACTAGTTTTGCACTGGAAACTAAAGTACAAGTATATCCTGCATATGTACTGGTTTTTTCTTTATTTGCTATTTTGTGTTGGCCTCTTTTGGTCCCAATTGCCTGCCTTAAAGTTGTATTTTCTTGTTTTTCTCTTCATCATAGCAGAGGTTATTCTGCACCTCTTACATATAGGACATTGGTAAAACCTTTGTGTATTTGTGGCCACTTCTTCAATATATCCCCACTTTCCTTTCTGAGATTATGATTGTTGATGGAATCAAAAAGATTTAACCCAAACAATTAACTGGGAAAAAGCAACATAAAATATATGGCAACCAAAACCATACATGTAAATCCTTAACTGTCTTTAAAGTAAATCCAGTTTTAACATAGAACTGATCTTACAATATCTCATCAGTATAATTGATGCAAAGGATAAGAGAACCCAAAAAAAAAAAAGAAGAAGAAGAAAAAAATAGCCCTAGACACAAATGATCATGAGTGTTGAGAAAGACAACTTGGAAGGAATGAAATCCAAATCTTTCAAAGGGGAGATAGCTGGGATCCAGGTGATGTTATTCTTCCTTATGGGTGTGCACTGTGGAAAGGTATTCAAAGTAGCAAATCAGATCTTTTGAAAGGAATAAGATATAAAATTGGGCATCATAGTTTCCAAGGCGCCAAGGCGAGGCTAGGCAACAGGGGGCACCTTGTCACCTAGTCACCTAGATCCTAGGGTAGTTACCATAACCATATTTCCTTAATAATTATCCATAATTTTCACAAGTATAGAGTTCATGTTGAAGTATAGAAAATCAACATATTGGTGAGAAGAAAAAGAAGAAGGAAAAGAAAATTCAAAAAATATAGTAGTAGTAGTAGTAGTAGTAGTAGAAAGTTTAATAGTGCCTATTTTATAATTATAATGTCAAAAATACATAGTACAAAACTGCTTGGCAATTAGGCGAGGCAAGCCTCAAAGGGTGCCTTGTCGCCTAGGCGCCCGCCTAGGCGTCGCCTTGACAACTATGTTGGGGATGGTAATATTTAGTTTTGATCAGTGAATGATAATTTTATTAATTTAAAAACAGATTACAAGTATTTTCCAGAGCGATACAGTATAGAAAGTCCCCAGAATACAAAGATCATCTATCCTCTATTTTAACACATTCAACAACAGTACTAGTAGAAAATGTGTTGATTAGACAAAATTTTAAGTTCTTCCTTACTTATTGGTTCAGGTTTTAAAGTCTTTGAGGGTTCAATACAGGATTTAGCAATGTTTGTATTGATTAAACCCTAACAAATAAGAAAATAATAAAAAGAATTAGTATATAAACACACAAAATGAATATTTTAGTTTAATAGTGCCTATTTTATAATTATAATGTCAAAAATACATAGTACAAAACTGCTTCGCAACTAGGCGAGGCAAGCCTCAAAGGGTGCCTTGTCACCTAGACATCGCCTTGACAACTATGTTGGGGATGGTTTTTTTTTGGATCAGTGAAAGATAATTTTATTAATTTAAAAACAGATTACAAGTACTTTCCAGAGTAATACAGTATAGAAAGTCCCCAGAATACAAAGATCATCCATCCTCTATTTTAACACATTCAGCTGCAGTTTTGCCCAAAAAAGAGAAGGCCTATCAACTCCCTGCTTTGCTAAAGTGTCTGCCAATCCATTTTCTGTCCTTTAGTCCACCCACGTGTAGAGATAAATTTCTTGGCCAGTAGTTCAATCTCCCTGTAATTCCATGGTGCTGAGCTCACTTGCTTAGCCCAAGAAATGACTAACAGTGAGTCCCCTTCTACTTCCAATTCTCTATCTTCTAAATGCACTGCTAATTTCAAACCTTGTAAGAGTGCCATTGTCTCTGCGTGAACCGAGCCTCTATACCCAATTGGTCCTGAGAATAAAGCCACAATCTCTCCAAGATGATTTCTGAAAAACTCCCCCTATTCCAGCCCTCCCCGGGTTTCCAAAGGAACTTCCATCAAAGTTCAACTTCAATTTATTTGGCTTTGGCAGTTTCCAATCCACCTTGGTTCTTTCTTTATGCATTTCCATTTGTACCACCTCCTTCCATTTTCTTATTATATCATTTGTCAAAACATCTTTGAAGATGTGTAATGTCTTTACCCAGTGTGGAGATCTGATTTTTACAGTTCCAATTACCTCCTCTTTAGATCTACTTTTCTCAGAGAAAATCCTTTGATTTCTTTCTTCCCATATGGTCCAAACTACAACTGCTCTTGTTGCCCTCCATAAGCATTTTGCCCTTTCTGTTGCCACAATAAATTGGGTCTGAAAAGGATCACCACATCTTGTGGAGGATTCCATCTGCATTCAAAAAGTGAGGAAAAGTAATCCCAAATACAAGATACAAAAGAGCATGAAATCAGTAAATGAGGAAAGGTCTCACCACTAGCCAAACAGAGGATACAAACATGAGCATAAAGGCACTTTGTTGGCCTTCTTTTCTGTAGCAAGTCATAGGTGTTAATCTTTCCAAGGAACACTTCCCTAGACCTAGTCCTCCTTGATCCTTGGTTTTACACACTTGTTCCCATTTTACTAGGTGGTCTTTCTTTTCATCTCCCAGTTCCCACAAGAAGTCCCTTATTATTTTTTCAAATTGCCTTCCAATTTTTACTAGGACTTTAAAGGTGGACAGGTAATAGGTGGGCAAGTTGGCTAGTGTGGATCTTATCAAGGTTATTCTTCCCCCCATAGAAATGTAGTTCCTTTTCCACATGGCTAACTTCTTTGCAAATCTTTCTATTATTGGTTTCCAAAAGTTATCTGCTCTCAGATTTCCCCCGCCCCAAAGGCATGCCAAGATAATCTAGAGGCCAGTTCTTTACCTCACAGCCTAGAATTCCAGCTAACAAGTAAACCTCTTCCTCTCCCAAATTCACACCTGCCACACAACTCTTTTCCCAATTAATTTTTAACTTGAGGTTCTCTGGAAACAGTCCACTAGGGCTTTCAAATGTCATAAGTTGGATTCCAAATAGTCCTCAGAAAAAATTATTATATCATCAGCAAATTGCAAGTGAGTCACCACTTGGCTCATTTTCCAGATCAGCCTGCTTAGTACCTCAACAACAAGGGTGAAGAGGAAGGGGGAGATAGGGTCTCCTTCCTTAGTCCTCTTTTGGCCGGGAAGAAGCCTTGTGCCACTCCATTTATCAGAAATTCAGAAATGAGAAATGAGCCGAGTCGGTGCAGCCTTTGATCCATTTTTTTCCATTTTCCACCCAACCCAATTTTTTCTAGAAACTCCAAGAGAAAGGACCAGTCCACCATATCATAGGCTTTTTCTAGATCTAATTTGCACACTAAGCCTTTACCTCCCTGTTTTTTCTTTTTTGCCACAAGAATCTGGTCAATTATTTGTCTCCCTTCCACAAAAGCTCCTTGATTTTGTGAGATTACCAAGTAATAAGCTCTTGAATCTTCCCACCAAGACCTTAGCAATTACTTTGTACAAGCTACCCACAAGACTTATAGGCCTATAATCCTTTGGAGATCTAGCTTCTTTCTTCTTAGGCACTAAAGTAATGAATGTTGCATTTGTTCTTGAAGAGATCTTCCCTTTAGTGTGGAATTCATTAAAGATATCTATCAAATCTGATTTTATAGTTTCCCAGCAATCCTGATATAATGCCATGGAGAAGCCATCTGGTCTAGGGGCTTTAGATATCTCCATTGAGAAAATTGCCTCATGAATCTCTTCAACAGTGAACTGCTTTTCTAGGAGAGTTACTTGTTCTTCCGAAACTCTAGTCCAATCCAGATCCTCTGCCTCCAAACTCCTTTCACCTAGAGTGGAAAAAATTGACTTGAAATGATCCACAGAAGTCTTTACTATGTCATCCTCTGAAACTAACACTTGACCATCCACCTCAACACTATAAATCAGATTTTTCCTTCTTCCATTGGCCATCGAGTGAAAGAATTTAGTATTGCCATCACCTTCCAAGAGCCATTTACATCTTGATTTTTGTCTCCAAGAGATTTCCTCCTTCCTCAAAATTTCCTCTA